ACTTTTTACAGGAATAGAGCTTTATCATGGGAATTACTTACGGGGCCAGATTTCAACCTGCACCGAAGTGTCATTGCCCAAATGCATAATACTATTTTATTTTTATTCATTTTTTGACATATGAAAGAAAAAATTAGTTTTAGTGTATAATTGAATAAATCTCAGAATAAATTATTGAACTACTTCTGAAAACAAATAGCTTAAAAATAATTTTATTAATTTAATTAATTAGTTAAATTAGTTTTTAAATAATCTAAATAAAACCTAATTTTTTTAATTTTTCGTTAAGAAATTAAATATTTAAAATAAATAAATAAAATTATAATAAAAACAATAGAAACCAAACTTAATAAGAGCAAAGCTTTCTAGACTAATTTTGTACTTTATTTCAAATTTTATTTATATTTTTAACCTTATAATGATAGATTAATATGGTTAATTATTTTTTTGTAAATTAAAAAGTTAAAGTAAGGTTTTTAACACAAATATATTAAGTTTTTAGTTATATTAAATTAAGTAGTATTTTTACGTAATTCATTATCATTTCATACTATATTTATAAAATAATGAATTTCATATTTTTAGTAAAATATAAATTTATAATTTTAAAATAGAAAACAAAAATTTTAAATACTGAAGTAACTTGTAGATGGTATATGGTTTAACTGCTAAAAATATTTATGTGACATTTATATATAATAATTCTTTGTTATCACCTTTTTAACACCGTAATTATCTTAGCAGCAGGAACAATTGCCTTTATATTTTTAATTAAAAAAACAATTCATTAATGTGAAAGAAGGAAAACTACTGTATTCCTAGCAGAGACATGACGTGTCAGCATTCAATTGGATAAAAGGTAGTAAACTTGGGTTGACCAAAATTTTAATGCATCTGAAAAGAAGACGAAGATCCCCTTGTTTTACGCTAAGTGCTTTCTTTTACAAGGTATTAGTAAGCTTATTAATTAACATAATTTTTCAAAAAATAAATTATTAAAATATTTAAAAATACAATTTGTAAACCAATAATGAATAATGAGAGATACCAAAAGTCAAAGTCAGTGGAAGAGAAGAAATAGGTAGAGAAGCAGGGGATTATTTCACCAGACACAATCCAAGAAGCGTTGTTTTTCAAAGTACAAAACAGTCTTTATCAGAGAGTGAGTGAGTGAGTGAGGG